GTTGCTTTAACATGTTGCATTTTAACCCGCGGCGCCCTTTTATCCCGCTCCTTTTCCTTTCCACTTCCTGTATACAGAAGCTGAGTCTCGGGCTCATCAGATCGGATCTCATGCTTGAGTCAGGGTGCCCACTTTTGGGCAAGTGCTCTGCATACTGCTGTTGGAAACAAGTGGAAGTCAACACTATTGCTTCCGGCTTTGGATGGCTTGGGCCAATCTCCTCTGGTATACACAGGTGATTGACAGCCAATCATAAGTGTAACTTTTTTCCTTTTCTTTAATGTAAGAAGTCTTTCTTAAAATAATGTAAGTTTTTAATATTAAAAAAGAAAAAAGATCACTTAATTTTCATGATGCAGTAATTAATACTGAAAATCAAATGGCTCATTCAAATCTTGTTATATCATCAAGGCTGGTATTAGGGTGTTGCATTTTACAAGAAAAGCTTTGCAACATTGCTCTTTTTCATTGTACATATCCCCCAAAGAATAGTAAGTAGTTTGTCAGATCATTATGACATATTAATACAACCTCACTAGATCTTTCTGTTCTCCCTGTGACATGCTTATCTTTTGATTCATGGTTCTCTCTGCGTTGTCCTATGGTTTTCCCCGCAGCTTTTTTCTCCCCTTTAATGTATAGGAAATCTAATGTCCTAATGCTTCCTGTTTAACTGTGCTTGTGTCCAATTGAATTGTTAAACTTTATTCATTGTTGATATTAATTTTACTGGTCTAACACTCCATTTGATTCAATTTTTCTTCCCCTCAATTGCTTTTTCATGGATTGTGTTTACTTGTACCCCTAAAAATAATGTGTGTTGTAGTGCTTTACCCAATTTCATAACATTTTCTTCCAGTGGATGCTGAAGCAGTGAAGTCATTGAACTCTTAAAATACTATTCTATTGTACTATATTTTAAATTGGGCTTTGGTTTTTATAATGGAGCAAGGAATTATCATTTTCCCCACAGAAAAGGCTAAGGCAACAACCACAATGTTATTGGGAATATTGTACTTTTGGTTTCAGGCATTGAGTTTGGGTCTGTTTCGTTCAGATTACTTCCCTCATTCTTCAGAGAGCAATATCCTCAAGCAAGTGGAAATGAACACTATCGCTAGCAGCTTGGCTCAAATAGCCACCAGCACATCTCTTTTGCATAGGTATGTTGGGGGCTATCCACCCAACTGGTTGAGGTGATCTCTGTCTTACTTTCTTCACTACTCTTTACTGAAAGTTTCCATACCAACGGTACCCAAAACTTTTAAAATTTACTTTGAATGTCTTAAACTTTGACCCACTGTGGTTTCACCTTTAGATTATTATCACATGAACTACATTAGGTACTTAACATAACAAAACACATGTTCTGGGGAAATTTAATGTAATAAATTTGGGAAGAAGCAGGAAATAATGAATATAATGGGTAATACTTATACAGATAATTAGGGCAAGTTGAACTTATAACTTTTAGTGTGATATTTTGGTAAATTAGTTTGCAACTTTAACTCTGAAAATAATGTTAAAGACACTTAAGTAATATGTTAATGAGCCCTTCAAATAGCTGCTCTATATCTAAACCCAGTCCATTGGAGGAAAAGAAAAAGATATTTTGGCCTCTAGACTAGGCGCAGATAAGGAGCTGTCATTTGAAAGGGACCCACCAATCTATGGTAGAGTCTACAAAAAAAGTTGGGTCAAAGTCAGAGACAATGTTGTTTTTCACTGTGTAACGCTGGTACGGAATATTTCTATTCTACACATTTTTTATACTGCACATTTCTGTTGCTTAGCTTTTTTTTTCTGTCGACAGTCCCATAAGCTTTTTTGATTGACGGGCTAAAGTATTTTCTAAATTTTTAAAATATACCTGTTAGTATCTGTAAAAAGTCTTTTGGGACAAGGTTCATGTATTTTATTTCTTATTGTAACATAAAGTTAGTTGTGCAACAATTTAGCTTCTATTCATTTCATCAAATAAATAGTTGAGAACAGAAACTGCCTGCCATACATATGTAAATATTTCATTCTTATGTCACTGTGTGCAAAATAAATAGGAGGAAATTTTAAGAGTTTTGCTTGCACCTGCCAAATACATTCAAAATCGCTAATCACTAACAGCACTGCCATTGATATTGCTGGTAAACATAAAATTTGGTTTCTCACTGGTTTGGAAATAAACATCATACAATTTGACTGAGCCATTTGTTCTTCATAGTATTTTATGCATTATGATACTTCTGTTTGTTTTGCTCATATATGTGCATCATTGGTTTGATTGCTTTTCTGGCACTGAACAATGCATCGTCATAGAATTTCGTGTTTTGCTAATGTCTTACTGGAACTTCAAATCTTGCAGGTATGTTCTATCAGAACTGGGATATCAAGACAAACTCAAACATGTATGTTCAAAAACATATCATCAGTATTTGACAATTTTTTCATTTTAAAGGGCAGAAGGTATTTTTATAACTGTATTTTGCAGCTCCCAGAAAACAATGCTCTACAAGGACTATGCAATGGCATGCTTCAAGCGTGGGAGATTTACGGTCAGCCAAAGTAAGTCAATCATATCATATCCTTTTTATTTAAAACTAAGCCGCTGTTTTAAAACAAGTCTAAATAAAATGCACATTCAAATTATTTTTTTTGTTTCAGGGCTGTAATTTTGTTTGTTGTAGAGCCTGTTACTTATAACATCTGTGACCAAAGATTTCATGAATTTGAAGTTCGCAGATTAAATCCACTGGTTACAGTAATTCGAAGAACTTTAACTCAGTTAGCAGAACAAGCCAAACTTGAACGAGACAAACGCCTAATAGTGTAAGCTAAACCTTTACTTCCCTCTTTTTTCTATGTTTACAATTTCAAAATTGACCTTTTGTTTTCTTTTCTTTTCTTAAGTGAGAACTATGAAGTGGCTGTTGTTTATTATCGTTCCGGATATACGCCTGATGATTACCCTTCTGAAATAGAGTGGGATGCAAGGCTTCTAATTGAAAAATCACTTGCAATTAAATGCCCAACCATCCAGTACCATCTGGCCGGGACTAAAAAGGTAATTAAAGACATATGATATTAGTTTTGTTTGGAAAGTTACAATGCTAGTTTTTCTTTTTGAGAAGACAAAGTCAAAAAGTTTATCTTGGTACTGTACAAGATGAATTGCTTCTTTCTCTGTGTGGCAGGTTCAACAGGCTTTAGCATTGCCCGGTGCATTGGAGAAGTTCCTCCCAGATGCCAGAAAAGCAGGCCACGTCCAAAAAATTTTTACCGGCTTATACTCTTTGGATATGGTGAGTTACTTGTTTTTAAAAGTGACAACTCTATCTTAATTCAGGGAGTGTGAAATATAGTACCACCTTTTTGACTCTCACAAACAGGATGAATTTGGTGACAAAGCTGTCAAAATGGCACTCTCGGAACCAGACAGATTTGTCTTGAAGCCACAAAGAGAAGGGGGTGGTAACAATGTATATGGAAAGGATATCATTGATGTTTTAGGAAAGATACAAAATTCCAAAGAGCGTAGTGCCTACATTCTTATGGATAGGATAGTTCCTCCTCTTCAATTGAATTACATGTTAAGACCAGGCAGAGGAAAAGCTATGTATGAACCAGTTGATGTTGTTAGTGAGCTTGGCATATACGGTGTTGTGATTGGGTGAGTCTCTTTTATGAAAATTCCAGTTAATTGCCTGAAGTGATGATCTTTAAAACATCTCACTAATAAGTTTTTATTTTTTTCCAGGGATGAAAAAACAATAATAGAGAACAAGCAAGTTGGTCACATGCTTCGGACAAAGCTTGCTTCAGCTAATGAGGGTGGCGTTGCTGCCGGGTGGGGTGCTTTGGACAGTCCATACTTGTTCTGAGCCAATGTTTATAATACAATGCTATTTTATTTCTGTTTTGTGCTGCTCGTTTCTCTCAAAAGGAAAAAATCCTTAAAAATGAAATTTCCTGTTTTGTATTTTATCAAATATTTTATTTTTCATTTATTATATATTTAAAACTATTTTTGTAAGTGGATTGTATTAACATTCCTCTTATTCTGTGATAAGTAACAAATATCAGCTCCCAATGTCAAGTATTTATAAAAACTACTGTATGAAAAATTGATTAAATTTCTAGATATGACATTCCAGACTGATTATTAAATATTACATTAGTCAACTTATGAAATAGTCTGAAGCTACGAGTCTTGATAGAAAGAAGATTTACAGACATAATTAATATTTAGTTTAGTTAGATGTTTTGGTCAAATTTTTAGACGAGAGGATTTTAAAATGAAAAATTTTAACACATTGCTAAACGTACTTAACAGTTTTACTGGCGGGTTAGACTTGACTTAAGACTACTAATGGATCCTCCAGCAGCATGGAAAGCAACACAAGCAGTCAAGATAACAATCAGATAGTTTGGAACAAGTGATGCTGCAAAGGGGCCCCCAGAATTAAGAAGAGTAAGACTTGAAGCTAATAGATGTGTCACTAAGACAAAAAGAAGTTGGATTTTATTGGCCCTATATTGGTCAAGAGCTGCAAAGAATATGACACTCCAGAAAACATGTAGTAATACAAAACAAAGTGTTGAACATGATGAGATCAGGAAAAAGCTCTCAGAGCCAGCCTTTAATCCCATAGTAGCAGGCCCAACAGCATCTGCTAGGACATTGATAATAGCAAAAACACCACTCATCACACCAAATCCTATCCCTGCCGAATACCCTAACATTTTTCTATTAATGATTGGAGTACTTGATTCAATCATGTTTTTCAGACCATCATCTAATGATGTGAGTGTAAGATAGAGAAGGAAGCGGAATACTTCCTGGCAGTGCACTGAGAAAATTACTGACAGCGCCAATTGAACTTGGGGGGACATTGAGCTGAGACCAAAAAACAGCCATATTATGGATGACAATAATGCTGACAGTAACCAAAAGAATCCACTAGCAAACACAATAATTATTGAGATCGGATCCTGTGCAATGGTTAAGATAAACATTGCTATTGCTGGACCAAATGCCATAAAAGCACAACCAAAGAACTCACACAACGTCATTTTGGTTCAATGAACTTGTCACCGCTGAATAATAGTAATTTTCTTATCAATCAAAGTCATTAACAAGAATAAACCTTTGAAATTCGCACAAGTCCTAACATCTTGAAAGAGTTGTTTCAGCACGAGGAGCCTATTAAAACCTATAAAAAAAAAAAAAAGGATCAGTTGTCAATAGATGTTTAATCTGAAGATCAAAATGTCAAGTCCCAGCCACGAAATTAGATCAAAACAAAAAAAAATAAAAAAATACATGAATATTTGTCTTGTAAAACTTCAAGTGTTGTAAGAGTATGGAAATAACCGAAATTAGTATTCCGAACAAATATTACTGCATCTTAAAACTACCAGTCGTTGAAACAGTTGTTTCTCAGTGTGTAGTGCAGTGTTGACAGGTGAGTCATAGGTTAGGATGCTTGACAGCCAGTGAACTGCAAAGTTTTACATAGATTAGATTATGAAACTTACTCAAGCAGTTCCAAACAGTTTCTCTTCAGGTGTACTAAATAAAACACACTCCAAGTAACGGAAAGGCGCTGTTGCGGTATAAAATTAACATCGGCGTTCCAAACTCAGTTCAGAAGCAAGACTGGTGGAGAAACTGCGGCCATATTGTTGTTGTTGTTGTTGCTGCTGTTGTTGTTTCATGGGATGAGTGAGAAGTATCCCCCACCAAACATTTACAAGCATTTTACAGCTATAAATTCCCACATTGTAGGAAAATCATACATCGCTAGGAACTGGAAGACATTAGTTTCACTTCCAACATTTTTTCACGCGAAACGTTGCCGAGATACCCGTCTGCTTGCCTGCAAGCGGCGCAAAGCTGGGTGGCGGTTCTTTTCAAAGGTTCGCGCTGTGCAGTTGTGCTTGGCTTAGGCGGAGCAGCTCGTTCGCCATCCCACTCTTGGGGTCGCTTGGTGACGGACGGGGGATGATAGGATGTTTATGTCTAAACTTTGCAGGCTTGGACTTTTTGAATAAATTTGTCCCGTTTTACAAAATCCTTTCGGACGGTGTCTAGTCTGCAAGCGAGCCGCAGTCTGTGACGCTTTTCAGCTCAAGCATCAAACTCAACTAAAAATAAAATAAAAAATAAAATCCGATAACTTATGCATTCCAACTTTTGCGTACAACGACGCGTACGGGGGTTGGCTCTGCGCCTTTTGGGCTAACTGCTGTGGAACAAAATAACTGCAAACATCAATTTAATTTTTTTTTTGAATTTTCACATTAAGGAATGAAACTCTTGCTGCCTTGAGCAAGCAATGGGGCCCGCTCGTCGACAACTCGAAGGACACGGAGCAGGTCACGAAGCAACAGCAAGCCGAGCAAGTCCGCAGATCGCGCGCTAGTTGGAATTCCGCGCTTCTGGTGGGGTTGGTTGGTTTTGAGGGGGGGGGGGCTAGTGGCGCCTGCTGCGCACCCCGTCGGGCCCTCCCCTCGGCGCGCGCCGTCGGCGACGCTCAGACCGTGCCCCAGTGCCGGTCCGTGCGCGACGGCGGCGTCCCGATCCGAGTCGAGTGGAGCCGAGCCTAGCCGAGCCGGGCCGAGCCGAGCCGGGCGGAGCACGCCAACACCGCGGAGAGCACCGCGGCGCCCAGCCTGCCGAACCGCACCGGGAGGATGCCCGTCGCGCCCTAGAGGTAACCGTATGCACGATCGGGTGCGTTGGAGGGACGGTGGGCTTCCCCCTTCGACTAACCATGGCCAAAACTTAGCAGTACACCCTCTAAAGGCGCTAATGTACGGAGATGTACATATGTGTACATTTAGCCACTAACAGTACCACAACGATGGTGCTAAATTCAGTTCACCTGATGACAAAGCATTAGCACTTCCAAAAATTCCGTAGCACTCCTTAAAAGGCTTTAAGGGTCACCAATTTTTCCAGTTAAAGCATACCATCGCACGACACACTCACTGGACTTAGTGACAACGAACTGGAATGAGGAATATTTCCATTTAGTGTGAGGGGGCAATAACTCCCTTTTGAAGTGTACACACACATGATTCCCGAAATTTTTGATTCCCAATTATTCCCGTCCGCTTATATTCATTCCGTAGATTTTTCGAGGGGTTTTAGTGGTAGAAAACGCTTATTTCGACTGATTTGTACCAGATGCTCCAGTTTCCCGCTTAGTTTAAGCGATTTCTATTGATTTCGATTAATTTATCCTGGGCTGCGCTACGCGGGCTGCTCGTCTAGATCCCGGTGCGAATTAGCCGAGTCAACTCGACAGTCGACATTGCCGGTCGTAACCACCGTACCACACGTAAAATGAAAATTACACCCCCCCCCCCCCACTCTGGCCGTGACAGAAAAAACTTATCGTGCATGTGTGGATGTACGATCATGCGTGCATCATACGTGCATCGCATCATGTATGCATCATGCATGCATCATGCGCGAGCATCGTGCGTGCATAGTGCGGAATCACCGTGCATAGTGCTAACTGGATAACTCTTATACCGTTCAATCCCTCCCAGTTCTAACCACAGGGCTGCTTCCCTCGTGGCAATGCTGGTGAGGAAGGTCAAGAGTTTTGACGGGTCTTGGTGGAGAAGTCGAGTTCAAACTCACGCCGAGCGGCTACTTTCAGGCAATGTGTGCTCTGTTCCTCGAGAGGACAATGTCGTGCATTTTGCGGCGGTTTATGGCCAGTCTCCCGGCCCGAGGAAGAGTTGTGCACACCGCTGGAGACCTGCTCGGGGCAGCCTCTGCCTCCACCAGAACGCCTGTGGGGCTTCTCTGCAAAGTGCTCCAGCGACCCGGGCGAAGTCCGTGCGAGGTGGGGAGGGGGTGGGGTTGAGGGTCCAACTACTGGTGGTGTGCAGAACATCGTGGAGCAATCAAAGGTTCTGAGAAGCGGGGAAGTGTCGCGGCATAAAAGAAAACAGAAAATCTGTCTATTTTTTGCCAGATTTACTAGCGATGGAGAAAATAGATTTTTTCGTTTAAGTATCGCATCCATATGAAATTAGAACTTCCCTTTGTTTACCCATCACTCTGGAAACCCAAGTGTGTACTTGAATGCAGAATATTCTGCATACCTACATGTACCGGGTGATTCAGAGAAGACACAAGTGCGGGCGGGTCTGCCTATCCTCGACTCGGCGGGCGCACAGGTCCCCTCCTCACCTCTCCCCAGACCTGGAGCCGTGCGCCCGCCGAGTCGAGGATAGGCAAACCCGCCCGCACCTGCGTCTTCTCTGAATCACCCGGTATGCAGAATATTCTGTGTACGTACTTTAAGTATGCAAGAGATAGTGTGTACTTGGTCAAATATGCAGGAGATAGTGTGTACTTGGTCAAATATGCAGGAGATAGTGTATACTTGGTCAAGTACACACTAAGTCTCCTGCATAAATGTATGGAAGTTTTAGTGTGTACTTGACCAGCAAGTACACACTATCTCCTGCATACTTGACCAAGTACACAGACTATTCTGCATACTTGCCAAGTACACAGACTATTCTGCATACTTGCCAAGTACACAGAATATTCTGCATACATGGAGGTATGCAGAATATTCTGCATCCAAGTATACACACTTGGGTTTCCAGAGCAGTATTGGCCAGCTACTTAAAACAGTGTGGGAAAAAACATCCGAAACATTCCTAGCCAATTCATTCGGCATAGTTACACCACATGTTTAGATTACTTATCGTAGGTTTTCCGAAAATCGATCGACGAGCTTTTCTGTTCTGACGGTTTAGCCGTGGGAAATATTAATGAACCCCCCCCCCCCTTTTCCCTTCGTGGCCAGCCTTTGAAAGCTCTATGGATGTCGTTAATATGATATAAACTTGTCTGTGTCAGGCCGTGGCGAGAAGGGTCGCGGGCCGCGGGGATGGACGCAAAGAGGGGAGGTAGGAGGAGAGGGGGGAGGCGTCCTTCATAAACCCCCACAAGATGTCCGCGTCTGTCCTAAAAGGTCCAACCCGACATGGGGGGAAAGTGGGAGTGACAGAGCGAGAGGAGGTGTATGGACTGAGGAGGGCCGCGGAAGACGAAAATATGTCGCTCGAAATCACCGCACAAAACGGCACGCCGACGGGAAAAACGGGCCAGCGGGGAGGGAAG